GTTGTGGTGTGCCTGGAACTGTCTTTTCCATTCTGATACCGTTGACAGCGCAATACTCCTTGAAACCTCCATCAATGTATTCTCCGCCATTATCAGATCGTAAGCATTTCAACTTCAAACCTGATTCAGTCTCAACCATAGCCTTCCATTTCTTAAATGTGTCAAATGTCTCAACCATAGCCTTCCATTTCTTGAACGTGTCAAACACATCAGATTTATTTTTCAGAAAGTAGACCCATACCTTCCTACTGAAGTCATCAATAAAAGTCACATAGTACCGAGATCCTCCAAGAGATGCTACTGGAGTTGGTCCCCATAAATCTGTGTGCACCAATTCTAGCTTTCTTGGTCTTAAGGTCCTACCAACCTTTAAGAAACTGAGCTTCTTCTATTTTTCGAGAACACAACTTTCACAAATGTCTAGATCAACATTTTTTAACTCTGGCAGCTTTCCTTTTGACTGAAGTATCTTCATCCCTTTTTGACTTATATGGCCGAGTCTACAATGCCAAAGTTGTGCCTGATTTTCTACTTTAGTAGAGGCAATTATATCTGCTGATCTTATGGTCATATACAGGATGCCAGTTTTCTTTTCACGAGCCAAAACCATTGCTCCCTTTGATACCTTCCACATTCCTCCAGAAAAAAGGATTGAATGACCACTATCATCAAGTTGTCCGACCGAGATCAACTTCTTCTTTAGTTCAGGAACATGCCTTACATTTTGCAAGTTCCATATAGATCCATTCATTGTCTTGATTTGCACATCTCCTATACCCACAATATCCAATGGTTGTCCATCGGCCAGATAAACTACCCCATAATTTCCAGTAGTATAGTTTTGCATCATTTCATGGTGTGGAGTACAGTGAAATGAAGCTCAAGAATCAAGAACCCAATCATTAATACGACTATGTACAACAAGGATCAAAGCATCCTGAACCTCGTCTGTAGTGGCATTTGCAGAATCAGCTTCAGGTTTCTTTGGTTTTGTGCAACTCCTCATGAAATGACCGGGTTTGCCACAATTCCAGCATTCAACCTGCTTCTTGGGTCCAAACTTGCTTTTACTTCTGTACCTGGATTTTGATCTACCTCTAGATAAGCCTCTGTCTTGTCTCCTTCCTCGAGTGTTGATGTTGAGAGCTGAACCTGAACTAGAGCTTTCACCCGAGTCTTTCCTTCATACTTCTTCAGCTAAAATTAGGTCTCTGATATCATCATATTTTAATTTGGATTTTCCAGCTGAGTTGCTTACGGCTGTTTTCATACCTTCCCAACTGCTTGGAAGTGAAGCTAGCAAAATAAGTGCTCGGATCTCATCATCAAACTCAATTTCAACAGATGACAATTGATTTGTGATGGTGTTGAAATTATTAAGATGCTGTGTAACAGAGGTGCTTTCTGTCATCTTCAGGTTGAACTGCTTCTTCATCAACTGCACTTTGTTATTTGCTGACAGCTTCTCATACATCCCAAACAAAGCTTCCATCAATCTTGCTGTGGATTTCTCTTTTGTAACATTATAAGCAACTCTTCTTGATAATAATAGCCGGATAATGCCCAAGATTTGTCTATCAAGAATTTGCCAATCTTCTTCTGACATGTTTTCTGGCTTGCTCCCCAATAGAGGAAGATGAAGTTTCTTCCCATATAGATAGTCTTCAATTTGCATTTTCCAATATCCAAAATCAGTTCCATCAAATTTTTCAATTCCCGCAGCCTTTATTTCATCAGTCATTTTTACTCTTTCTCGGATTTGAATCTCAAAAATCTGACATTATAGATGTATCCGGAATGGTCAAAAATGCTGGAAACGACACTAAGATCACCCAAATCGGACTTTGGAGGGCTCCGTTTTAAACAATCAAACTTTGGGATCATTGGATGCTGAAGATGAAGCCACGTGACAGGAGGAATAGTCGCTGCGCCACACCGGATCAAAACCCAGTGATGATCACGTGGCTAAGCTAACGTGTTAGAGACGTAGGCAATGTGGGACCCACCAAATCTGACGTGGCAGGTCACGAAGATTCTTAGTTGACGTGGCAGTGCTGACGTGACCGATAACGTGTCTGTTGACGTGGCAGCCGACGTGGTAGGGTGACCGGTCAGACTGCTGATGTGGAAGGGGACGTGGTTGATGACTGTACCGAAGGGCTGACGTGGCGGGGTCGAGTTGCAGGAAACGACGAGGAAGACGCTTGACGCGCGTTGGTGCGCGTGGACAGTGTTGGTGGAGGCGCGTGCGAGCATGCAGGACGTCGGATTTTCACCGGGTTTTCACCAGTGGATTCCTCTCGTTGTCCTCTTCACGGTGGTATGTCCAAAAACTCATTTTGAGAACTTTGATTTTTGAGTTTGGATCAAACACCCTCTTTTTAAAGAACTTTCAAGAACCAGACTCTGATACCAGTTGTTAGGACATTCCGGTGTTAGGAGATCCAAACATTCAAACACACACAAATTTACGTGGTTCGGCAACTTGCCTACTCCACGGAGCTACTGGTTTGTATTAATCAAGCTCAAAAGCAATACAAACAACAAAACAAGAAGGAGGAGAAAAACTTCTCTACTCAACTCAACTCTCACCCTTAGCTCTCTCTGTGTTTCTCTCTATTTCGTGCTCTGTATCAGCTATTAATGCACCCTCTATTTATAGCTGAGGAGGGAGACAATTGTTCAACAATGGTGGGCAACATTTTCTTTGGTTAGGCACCCACCATTTGACTCTAACCATGTCAACCATGGTTGCTACCGGCCATTCGTGTCCACACATAACAAAGTTAGCTGTTACTAGAAATAAAATAAAAGAAAAGAAAATCCTCTGTAAGGTAATTAATTACTAAATTAATCCCTAATTAAATTAGTTTTCTGATTGTTCTTCACAAGATTTCTAAGAATAAAAATATTTTATTAGACGTCTTAGCTGAATTCTAAACCAGCATATAATAAAATAAACAAAAACAAATAAAAAAGAGGGGGGGGGGGGGAAAGCACCTTAGATCACGTACTATTTTAGTTTACAATGAAATATTCTGTGGATATATGTAGTGATTCTCCCAAGTCTCTTAGCTTTTCTCTTAATGAAAATTAATAACCTCATAATATCTTCTTTGTAAACTAAACTTTGAAGTACCTGTCTTAACTATTCGTAAGCTATCTATAATTTGATGTCATGAGTGTTTTTCTTGAAGTTATTCTATTTAATGTCATGAGTGTTCTATTAAGGGGGGAAAAAACTCTATTTAATGTCATGAGATTTAGTAATCAAAATATTTTTTTATTTTTAATATTAATATATTAAAAATATTAATTTAATATTTTTTTAAAATAAACAGATTTTTAAATGCACTCAAACATGATTCCGACTACAAAAACAAATTATGTTTTGATCGCGGGCATAACAATCATGGCAGTAAGTACATGCTTTGGGAGTTCTTTTTATTAAATCAATATTATAGTAAAAAGATTAAATCAATACAGATAAATAAATGATCAAAATATAATCAAACAATTAATCCATTTAATAGAAGAAACATTACAGAATCCATAAACTACATAAAATTACAGAATCCATAAACTACATCAATCCCTTTTCTTTTGTGCAAATCCCACACGTGTCCCACACGTTTTCATCAAAAACCTAAATTTTACGACTCCTTTGGCAGCCACGTACATGCTTTAGTTCTTCTTTTTTTGATATCCTCGTCGGACACTATTTTTTAAGCCTGGGAAGCATACTTGGATGAAAGAGTTGAGGTGGTTTAAAATATTTTTTATTTAAAAATATATAAAAATATTTTTATATTTTTAATATTATCACATTCAAATTATTTAAAAATAAAGACTACGTATTCAATCTTCACAAACTTTAATATGTATTAAGTCAGATTTGTGTAATTACATTTGCCAAGTTTGCTTAATTAAGATGGAATATTTATGGCTACTTTAATCTCTAGTGTTTTCTCTCCCGGTACATGGTAAAAGTCTGGGCAGTTTTTTCTTTTTTAATTTTAATAACAATTCTGTTCTTTCAATCCCAAGAACGAACAAAAAAAGAAGAGAAATCACAGATCAGAGAAGAATAAATGGCTTAGAAAAGTAATAAAGTTGCAGTATACATAAATCTAGTTCACACTGGTTAAATGCGAAAAGAAAATAAATACGTTTTATTATAGTATGGTTGTTTTCTAAAATATTTTTTATTTAAAAATATATTAAAATAATATATGATTTGAAGGTAATTATGGTTCTTTTATAGCTATACAAAAAATATATATTGTTAGTTTTTAAAAATATAATTTATATTTTTAAAAAATTATTTTTTTTAATAAAAAACCACCACCACACCTCTAAGTTAAATATATCTATTATATTATAAGATATAGAAAGTTAACATGTGGACCCATTCAATGTTGAAACTTTAAATAAGTTGCCAAGAAAATCTGAACGCATGAAATTTTCAAAAAAAAAATAGTATATTTATTAGGTTATTTTAATAATAAATTAATATAGGATTTTCATCTTGTAGAAACTCAATAGGATGAAAATATAATATTAATCAAACTTCAAATTATAATTATTTATCTATCGAGTTAAAAAAAAAAGGTACAAAGGGATGAAGGATTATTTCAATATTAATTAATAAGAATATCCTTGTTGATTTAAAACACTATTTTCATATAAAAAATAATTATGTTTTGCACCTGATTTTTAACAAAAATGATTGAAAGAATGATATATCATTGAATATGAGCAAATTTAAGCTTACAAAAATGATTAGTATTTTTACAGATGGCTGGAATTGATAAATGATGCAACAAAGAAGGATACGAACCATTACGTTTAACGGAGTAATTAAGCATTCTACATTTTCATTAACGGAGTAAAGGACATCCTTTGCATTAGGATAGAATTGATAAATGATGCAACAACGAAGTATTCTAACAACGAAAGGATTAACAATACGAAAGGTACAATTCGATTGAGAGAGATGATGCTTACAGTAGTCTCCTCCTACCAAAACAGTACAAAGGGACGAAGGACATCCTTGGCATTAGGTTGCTCCCACTCCACTACTGTCTCCCACCATTCTTCTGGATATACCGTGATGTATTTAAAAGAAGGGGGAGGAGATGGCTGGCCATTTTCAAGCAACGGAAGACCAATTGGCATCCTCTTCAGCTTCTCACAAGACGTTACATGAATACCTTCAAGAGAATTGCAAATCAGTTTTGCACTGCAAATGCTTTTCAATTCTGGTAAAAGATACAATTCCAAAGTTCTTAACTTTGGGAGAATGACTTCCGTGATGGAATTGGAGGTGCTGCTTTCTTCATCTGTTGTTCCTATTATCTCCTCCATTTTCTCACAACGCTCAGCACTAAACACTTCCAGGTTTACGAGGTTTGGCAGCAACACAAGTGGGAACACCTTCTTCATACTCTTACATCCTCTACAATAAAACTCTTTAAGACCAGAAAACATACCATTATATGATGGCAATCGTGGTGGTGCAGAGCAGAACCAAGAAGATGAAACCAAGCTCTCCATGCTATTGCAATCCCAAATGCGGATGAACTCCAGTTCAGTTGCATTCTCTAATGACAAAACATCACATAAACTTCTTGCATCGATGCATTCGCAAACCAGTCCTTGAATGCCATTTAAGAACATGACCTGAAAATCTCCATCTCCGTTGATACTCAAATTACCCAACCCAACTGTTTTACCTGGCAAATAATCACTGTCAAACCAATAATTTATATCCACCATTCCTACTAAAATTTTATATGTGCTTAATGATTGAATCCCATCCCAAGATCTGAGATACTCCACGAAGTCAGATAGACCTTCGAAATGGCATTCCAAACTTTTCAAATTTCTCAAGGATACTACTTCCTTTCCTTTAACTGTTATCGGAGCATATCTTTGATCAATTGACGTTTCCTCTAGTACAAAGACTTGCAGGTGAGAGAGTTTTGGTAATATCCCACTAGGAAACTCCTTTTCACCACATCCATTCATTCTAAGATACCTTAGGTTGGTTAGGCATTCCATTCCTTGAGGCATCTTTTCAAGTGTAGTGCAAGAGAGATCCAACCTTCTCAATTCCCTTAGCTTCTTTAATGATGGAACACGTCTTAATTTCTCACAATCATTGAGCAATAATGCTGTGAGACTCACCAAATCAGAGACAGAGTCTGGCAAATTTTCAATACTTGTGCAAGACAGATCGAGGACCTTGAGCCCATGTAATTGCTTGAAAAATGAATCCGCAATCAATCGCAGCTCTTCATTCTCACGTAAAATTAGAGATGACAAATTTGGACACATTGGTGAATGGCTAGAAGGAATTTCTTCGATCTGGTTTCGCATTAGTGAGACTCTTGTGAGATTCTCTGTCCACTCCTCTGCATCTGGTATCTCTTTTAATTGCGCACCTGCTTTAACCATGACTTTAGAGTTTTCTATTTGGTTGGCCATGTCCCTAATCAAGTCATGCATCTTGACACGTTTACTACCATTATACCCTATTTTTACACTTTCCATTAGGCAGACATTTTCAAGTCTATTAAGCATCGTATGTCCCTCATCAAATGCATCTCCCCTTCTTCTCTTTCCATTAATTATTCCCTCGTCGATCAAATAACCTATCAACTCCTCCCTTTCAATCATATCATCTTCAGGAAATAATGCACAGTACAAGAGACATTGTTGTAGTGCTAAATCACCTAACCGATCATAACTAAACCACAATAACTTGAATACTTTCTCATCTATGTCCCTAAATTTTGATTCTCTCAATTTGTTCAATGTATTTCTCCACTCATGTGGGTCATCCACTCCCCTCAAGCTTCCTGCCACTGTAATAATTCCCAACGGCAAACCAGCACATTCTCCAGCAATATCTTTCGCAATTCTTTCCACTTCCGGTAAAAGGGCTATGTCACATCCAAGTTTTTCCATGAACAAAGTCCAAGCTTCTCCTTCAAAAAGTAGCTTCACTTTGATTTTGTGGCGGCAAGCCATCCGATGACAAACCATTTCTGATCTAGTTATCATAATCAGCTTGCATCCTTTCAACAACACAGGAATTCTCACTTCATCAAGTTCAAAATTGTTCCACAAATCATCTAAAATGAGAATCCATTTTTGTTTCGTACTTAGTTCTTCTGACAATTTAACAGCTCTATCCAGATCATCATCTTCACTTGAAAGGTCTAGATGAAGACTTTTAGCAATGAGATTCTGCAATCTAGTAATGCTAAAATCTTGAGACAGTCACCCACCAAACATGATCACAAATATCTGGTCTTTGTAGAAGCTCATTATAAATATGTTTGAATATTGTTGCGTTACCAACCCCTCCCATCCCATAAATGCCAATGGTTGAGACTTTATCATCCATTAACAAAGACCATATCTCCTTCGTATTCTCTTCAAATGCTTGACCCACTGGCTTTGTAGAGCTAGTAGGTAATGGAACTCCTCTACTCTTGTTGTATTTTAGACTTTTAGAAGATCTAGCTCCAGCACCAACCTGCACTAAATGTATAGTGGATTAACCAACCAATCCTTTTAGTTTTTTTATACTGTTTATAAAACCTAAAAAGCTTAAAAATAAAAATTTAAAAATCATAAAGAAAATTAAAAAAAAAAAGGATGAATTTGAATTTTTTTCCTCCGAATAAGACTTAGATGACACTAGAAAAATTGATAAAGGTGATTATTTTTTTTTAAATGTCCTCTCTCTCTCTCACTTTTTCTTTGTAATTTTTATTATATATTTTTTCAAAATAATTTATTACTAGTTAATGATATTACTAGTTAATAGATCTATTATTTTATTAGGTTACTTTAATGATAACTCAATATTATTTTTTTTGGATTTTCATCTTGGGGAAACTCAATAGGATGAAAAATAATATTAATCAAACTTCAAGTTATAATCATTTCTCTACCGAGTTAAAAAAAAATAATATAACAATTCAATAGTCTTAAAAAAATAATGAAACAAATAAAAAAAATATTATTTATGTAATTGTAAGCACACTATATAAAAAAGAAATATTTCATATTAATAAATGCTTTTTTTTCTATGAGTTCATGTTAGTCTTCGATTTTCTTACAAGAATAATATATATTATTGAATATGAG